ACGAGGGGATAGATGGGGAACTCATCAAATTTGCAGACGACACCAAGCTGGCAGGAATAGCCAACACTCCAGAAGACAGGCTTAGGATACAGGAGGATCTGGACAGACTTGAACACTGGGCGCTATCTAACAAAATGAAATTCAGTGGTGAAAAAAGTAAGGTTCTACATTTAGGCAAGAAAAACCAAATGTACAGGTACAGTATAAGTGGTATCTTCCTCAATAGTAGCAACTGTGAGAGGGACCTCGGAGTCCTAGTGGACAATCACTTAAATAGGAGCCAGCCGTGTGCTGCAGCTGCCAAAAAAGCCAACACAGTGCTGGGCTGCATTAACAGAGGGATAGAATCAAGATCACGTGAAGTATTAATACCACTTTACAAGGCCTTGGTAAGGCCACACTTGGAATACGGCATCCAGTTTTGGTCACCACGATGTAAAAAAGATGTTGAGACTCTTTAGAAAGAGTGCAGAGAAGAGCAACAAAGATGATTAGGGGCCTGGAGGCTAAAACATGCAAGGAACGGTTGCTGGAATTGGGTATGTCTAGTTTAATGAAGAGAAGGACGAGGGGGGACATGATAGCCGTGTTCCAATATCTCAGGGGCTGCCCCAAAGAAGAGGGAGTCAAGCTATTCTCCAAAGCGCCAGAAGGCAGGACAAGAAGCAACGGATGTAAAACTAACCAAGGAGAGAAGCAACCTGGAACTAAGGAGAAACTTCCTAACAGTTAGAACAATTAACCAGTGGAACAACCTGCCTCCAGAAGTGGTGAATGCTCCAACACTGGAAGTTTTTAAGAAGAAACTGGATAGCCATTTGTCCGGAATGGTATAGGGTTTCCTGCCTGAGCAGGGGGTTGGACTAGATGACCTCCAAGGTCCCTTCCAATTTCTTCACCACCACCACCACCACCACCACCACCATCATCATCATTATTATTATCAAGCCTGCAGGGCAGAGAGACCCCAGGAGGGCAGGGCATCGGGGAGGGGAGAGGTGGTGCCCAGCAACATGGGCTCCAAGATGCAGAGGCTTCCCCGTGACGGCACTGCGAGGCCTCCATCCCTTCTGACGCTGGCCTGGCAGCTTTTAGCCAGCCAGGGATTTGGCTGCAGCTGCGGGAAAGAGCCCAAGACCAATTTGAGGCAACCTAAACGCTGCCCAAGGGCTGGGTTGGCGCCTTCAGTCTCTTTCCCCCAATGAAGAGGATTTTAATTCAGCTGGGCAAGCATCTGAGGCGGCCTTGATGGAAAACATTATTTATTTGACCACAGTCCCTTTCGGCTGGCGCTCCAGCCTCCTCTTTGGATTTAGAGTCTTAGAAGGTGAATCACGAAACTGCAGCCCCAGCGAAATAATCATAATAATTACACGCCGAGAGATCTATATTAAATAGAATTGGCCGCCTAAGGTATAATTATTTCCAGGCTAGGAACAAAGTTAAAATTATAAAAAAATGGCCCTATTAAGCTACTTAAACGACCGATTTAGAGCTCCTTTTTTCGGAGGGTTTTGTTTTCAAACGGAAAGACGCACCTATTTATTTACCCCCAGAAAAATGAGCTGCCCCATTCCACGGGCTGACATTGGCAGCAAAACAGGCACGGCCATTGGCCGGCCGGCCTCAACCCAAAGAGCAGTGGCACTGTGGCCTCAAGGGGACACCTGGTGCCAAGGGCTCCGTGGAGGAAAGTCGCAGCTCCCGGCACCCGGAAGCAGCTGGGATGGCCAGTTGTGTGCCAGGGTTGAGCCAGGCCTTGGGAAGGGACGGTAGCTGTTTTAGGGCCTCCTGGCATCTCCCCTGCCAAGGCTGCCTCCCGTGCCAGTCCAGGGTTTCATAACCAGTGCAAGGAGTGAGACTTCTGCTCATGGGAAATCCGAGTTCCCAGCAAGGCCGCAGAGTCTGGGAACGGCCTCTGGGATAATCCAGGCTAATTCCTTCTGAGAATTCCTGCTTTGTGTCCGATGAGCTTCTGCACTCCGGGTGCCTTTTGCCCCATTCTCTTCCCTGTCCTCCCAGCGGCCTCTCCTTCGGTACTCCTTATGCGGATTGACACGCTGGCCTGCCTTTTTTCTACTCCTGATGCTTGGTCGTTTTACAGAATCCAAATGCTGGTCGGGCACTGCCAGATGCAGGGATCAGACCCAGCAACCTTCTTTGAAACGAGGGGAGCCGTTTGGAAATGAAAAGGTGCACGGCTCCTTTTGAGACCCACCAATGCCGCTGTCTGCTCTGGTGAAGCGAGGAAGAAGCGTTGTCAACAGAGGGTGCTGCATCCTCTCTCTGGACCGGGTGGCACTCCTGGGAAAGCCGAGCGGCCGGGCTCGGATTGAGATGTCCTTGTTTTGTTCTGCTGTCAATGGCCTGGATCAAAGGTCA